CAGTCAGAATCTTTCCTAATTCTACTTGGGATTGCTGTATTTTTCGGCCGAGGTGCATTTGGTATTCCAGACTCTTCGTGGAGCATTTTCTCGTAGTCATCGGCTGTAAAATGGTTACTGCAGATGACACTCATCAAGGATGGCCCATCCCAGAGTGCCCTGGTCAAGCACACTTTTGCTGTCTAGATTTCCCGTAATACTGGGTCTTTTGGGAACTGGGCAGGCGTACACCGGCCTTTGGTGTATTGCTGCATCCTGCAATGACACATCTGACAGAGACTGGATGACTGGGCGCCCCAACGGCAGCCAGTTGTGAGTTTTGGCTCTCATTTTAGAGTTGATTTTTCTGTTTAGCCTTTGCTCAACCCATGTTTTATGTACTGTACTTTAGTAGTTTGTAAGTGAAGCCTAGATGCTTTGGAAGTGATAAAGCTAAAAAATTGGTGCGAGTTTCTGCCGTAATTCTTGCTCTCTGCAATATTCCGCAAGGTTAAGAAGCCCTACCTCGTGTGAAGGACCAATGCCTCTGTGATATTTCACAATCAGTCCGACAATGATGTGGAATGCCGGGGCAAGGGTGTGTCTGGTACTGTTTGTCATATTGCTGATGCATGGCCACAGCCTTTGCAGGAACTTCCAAGGAACCCAGTATGCAGTCAGTATGAAATCCACCATTATTCCCAGCTACAAACGCCAATCATTTGGACCACAACTGTTGTGCTACAGTAACACAAGTGCTACATTTCGCCAAGAAATACTGAAATGTGGCGATATTAACCCTAACCCTGTTCCTGAATATGTGAAAGCACCCTGTCATGACCAGGAAAGATGTATGATGATTACGACTAGAACTCGGAATTCAAGAAAGGAACTACTGGAGCTTTGCAATGTCAGTTACCGGATCCCGAAGTTTGGGTGGTCAGTTTTCATGGCCTTGTATATATGCAAGTAGTGACCCCCTCTTCGGAGATGCCGTGCTGGAGTTAAAATTAAAGACCAACGAATCCCAGCGTTAATCCACCCAAGAACACATATCTCGAATCAAGATTCTTTTGGGAGAGACACATCAAATCTGGTTAACATTTCGGCTGGAGTGTGAATCCAAGACCATACATCCTCCGTCGATCCTGTTATTGAATGCTCAATCGCTTGTCCAACACATAGATGAACTTCAGGTAATATTAAATGCAAATGATATCGATGTTGCTGCCATTACTGAGACATGGTTTCTGCCTGCTGTCGAAAACATTGCATTTTTCATCCCTAATTATAGATTTTATAGCAAACCCAGAGGCAACAAACGAGGGGGAGGTGTGGCATTATGTTTACATGATCATATCTACATGTAATCGTGACCTCTGTCAGAAATTCAGGTCCCGAATGAGCTTGAGGCACTGTGGGTGTGGACCCAACCTACTCGCTTACCCTGCTCCATCCCGGGCTTGATTTTTTGCATCGTCTACCACCCACCTGCATCACGGTACAAAACGGAATTGATAGAACATCTAATAACATCCCTCAACATCTTCCAGAACAACTGTCCTGGTGTAGGCGTTGTTCTGCTGAGAGACCTTAATCAGTGTAATACAAGAAATCTTTTTCCGGTGTGTGGTCTTGTGCAAATTGTAAACAAACCAACCAGAGGGGAGGCCATCTTGGACAAAATTATATCTAATATTGACCATCATTACAATTAACTGGAAACACTGACACCTATTGGTATGAGTGACCACAACTCGGTGATCTTGATGCCTAAAAAACACAAGAGGCATCACAACTGCATAAATCGCAGAGTTGTGCGACCTATCAGGAACTCTGACAAACTGGCATTCGGGCGATGGATAGAACTGGAGCGAAGTCAAAGCAGCTGATTCTACAAACCAGAAGGTTGACATATTTTATGAAACTCTCCATGCTTCAACTGATCATTTCTTCCCCACTAAAACTGTTGCCACCCATAACGAGGATAAACTATGGATGAATCTTGAACTTAAGGCACTCATAATGAAAAGGCAGAAAACTTTCTGGGAAGGAAAATTTCTCTTTGGTGACTTCTGCGCTACAAAGTTTCTCGTGAAATAAAAAATGCCAAATGTAAGTTTTATAAAGGAAGTGTAGACCACCCCAAAAACAGTAATTCCCGGGGTTGGCATAAACAAATCAAGAAAATGTCTGGTCTGTATAACAAACAGAAAACTTATCTAGCGGAGGAGGCTGCTAAATATACTGCAATGGAGACAGCCTCGCTTATAAATGAACATTTTTTGTCAGTAGCATGTGATATCTCCTGCCTAGATCTCAGTAAGCAGCCTGCATATTTACCAGCTTTGGCACAAGTGCCAACTATTACTGTGAGGAAACGATTAACATATTATGATTTTGCTTGATTATTCACTAATTGGACCAATAGAGGGCACTCGTCTACTTACTGTTAAAGTCAATTGCCAAAAGGTAGCCCGCTGTGTATTCAAATTTGTGTAAAAATAGAACTGTATCCATGCAGCAGAGTCTGCAATGACTTAGATTTTTGGCAGGTACAGACAAGTTGAAAAAGGAGTTGGCTTTGCAAGGGGAGGAAGACGGTGGGTCTTCGTAATGGCGTCTTGTAAACCCTAAGCCATGCCGGTTGGTGCAGATTGTTGGCCTCCTCCCCTGCGATTGTGGGAATGATTATCAATGTGATTCCAATCAAATCTGAACTACAATAAATCAGCACATTTGAAGCTACTGGATGCCTGCCTCTCTTCAGTATTGCTCAGGTGTTTTTATTCGTCACAAGTGAGACCAGACCCGGTTGTTAAGTCTGACATGTTGACTACTTGCATGTCAAGCTGATCACCCAGCAGCGCAACCCCGCACATACTACATGTACATTACCACACAGGAAGTATACCATGAATTGAAAAAGATGAAAGTACATAAAACTGGAGGCCTCGATTTAATTCCATCAAGGTTGATTAAAGAGTTTGCCTATGAACTGTGTTTTCCCTTATCAGATATTTGTAACTGCTCTTTGAAAGAACGTATTGTTCCAAAAATATGGAAGTCTGCATATATGGTGCCGGTAGCAAAGTGCCAACCTTACACAGTTAAAAATCTTCGTCCAATATCACTGACTTGCATTTTTGCTAAAGTCTTAGAAGGCTTTGTAACTAGTTGGATCAAAAATTATATCAAATGTAATTTAGACAAACAACAGTTTGGTTCTCTTAAAGACAACTCAGCTGCTCACTATTTGATTAAAATGTTGGATCAAATTCATCGCGACACTGATTCGGCCAAAAACTCTGCTGTTATTGTTGCCACAGACTTTCCCACGGCCTTCGATCATGTGGACCACAATATTCTTTTTCCTAAATTCATTGATTCCAGTGTTCGTAGATCTATCATTCCTTGGATATGTACATGTAGCTTTCTTTCTGAGCGCACCCAGGCAGTCTGTTATCAAAATGAGATTTCTGAATGGCAGTCTATTCATGCAGGTATTCCGCAGGACACCTAACTGTGACCTGTTGCCTTTTTTGTCATGATCAGTGACTCCGGATGTAACATTCCTGAAGTCATTCGCTATAAATATGTAGATGATTTAACACTATGCCAGACATTTAGCGATGTTGTTCAAACTAGCTGGATTCAAAATCAACTTGATCGACTGAACTAATGTGCTAATGACAGTAACATGATATTAAATGCTGATAAATGCCAGGCACTGACTGTTTGTTTTAAAAAGAATGCTTTATCCTGATTCCAGACTTGAATTTAGGTGCTTCGACTCTTGATCAACTGAACTGTCTTAAAAATCATTGGCATTAATATCCAAAATAATCTCAGATGGGATATCCAGGTAACTGTGATGAGTAATTCCTTTAATAGAAGGCTTTATTTGTTACATCAGCTTAAACATTGTGGCATATCAGTCAAAGATCTTGTAACTGTGTACATGCAATATATCAGACCTACCGTTTAATATGCATGTCCTTTTTGGCATTCGGGATTGACAAATGAATAACAGGGATCCCTCGAAAAACTACAAAAAAGAGCATTTCAGACTATTTTATCCATTGATACTTCAAGTCATACGTCATATGATCATATGTGCAGTGAGCTGCATTTACCCTAGCAAAGGAAAGAGGTGATCAGTTGTGTTTGAAATTTGGCAAGAAACTTCTTATTTCTCATCGTGACTGGCTTCCACCGACGAAGTCCAATAATTTACGTAATGCCAACACTTTGTCAATCCCGAGATGCCGAACTGATACATGTACATACAAATACACTTCAATCCCTTCTCTGGTTAACTACTGAATGAGAAGTACTTGTAATTTTCTTATTGTAGATTTTGTGTCCTATTTTAATTGTTTATAATTGTAATAGTGACATTTTTAAGAACTTGGTTTTGTTTAAAACTTTAAGTTTTTTCTAACTAGCAGTTTTATCTGAGTAAATTCTTTCTTTAAGATTTTGTTTTTTAGCAATTATTGGTATTTTTTTTATGAGTGTACACTGGCCCACAATTTAGCCTCTGGGCTGCGACGGGAGAGTTAAAATAAACCATAATAATAAACCATAATAATAATCTAGTCAGTATTGTTGCTTGTTGTGGCCAAATTTCAAGGATTTTTTTGGCAAGGTACCTCAGTAATAGTTATACGCATCACACCGGTCACCGGGTCAGTGGCCCACGATCAGGTTCTTTACGTGACGTCATCGCATCACGTGATGCATTACGGTACATCATTCAGAGTTTTCGGTGGAGAAAGTGGGGGCCACGAAAAATACATGTACTGTAGCTAGAAAATCGTCGAAATCAGCCAAACCGAAGGAAATACACAACGGACGAAGTTCTTGTTTTTGTATGCAATTCTGATATATTTAATACATTAATGGATTTGAATCGCTGAGAACCTTTAATTTGCCTATATTTGAACTTTTTGGATTGTTTGTCTGGTGGTTGTAACATATGTAACATTGTAACTTTGCTGGATCCAATGTACATATAGGGATGCTTCTCCTGAGAGCCCATCTATTACATGCAGTGAGAGTGACAGTGATGATGATCTGATCCTGAGACCACCAAGACTGCGTAGAAGACATCGACGTCGTGAAAGGTACTTGACAAAGTTTCGTCTTCATCTTGGAGTGGGCACTTCCATGCAAAAATTGCAGTTTGTCATGCCATTAGATCATTTATTTGGTTGGTATTAGTCTATCTTTCCCCTCCTTTTTTGTTTGGATGATGATGTCTTAAGTAAAAAGTAGCAAAAAAGTCAAAACATGCATTGTTCTCCAAACCTGATTCAGTGAATGCTGCTTGAAAACTGAAAGTATGTTGGTGTTTGTTTTTGAGCATAAATTTTCTTAGTTCAAAGTTCAGATTACGCTCAAAATAGCTGGTTGGAAAATTTAACATTTAGCTTTGAAGTTTAAAGTTCATACATATACATTCATGGCCAACTGCCATTTTCACAGTGATGTGTCTTACATGTACATGTACTAACCATTTGACAAAATTTACAATTTCAAGTTCTTTGACTGTAGTATGATACCATTTGAAGTTGCTACCTTCTCTGTGTCATCATAAGAAATGCCCTCTTGAAAAACCCATGCTGTAACAATGAGAACAACTCACTGCACACCCTACTGAAAATGTTCAATTCATTTACCTATTGAGACCAATTTACTTACCCATTAGATCTTTTTCACTTACCCATTGGATCCAATTCACATAATCAATTGGAATCCAATTGGGGTTCAATGGGTTTGAATTTTAGATTCAGACCTTTTCTCAGTTGGACCATTCAAACCAATTGACACCATTTGAGTGTCAATTCACAATCCAATTGTAAAGAACCAATTGAAACCATTTCAATACTATTTGAAACCAATTAAATTCCATTTAAAAAATCCATTTGATGGGGAAAACAAGCTGAAAGCAAACCAATTGGAACCAGTTGCATCCCATTTGAAATTTCCAAATGATCGAGGAAAACAAACAGAGAAAGTATACCAAATGAAACCAATTGCATCCCATTTGAAATCTCCAATTGATGGGGGAAACAAGTGGGAGAGAAAACATTTCAACTGAAACCAATTGAGCACCAATTGATTGCCAATTGGACCAAATTCATTCCAATTAAATCCAATTGAAAAATCAATTGGTTTGAATAGGCCATTTTTAGTAGGGCAATGTGCCTCAATGAGGTCACCATACAATGGCCAGTTTGTGTAGCACATCATTGAAGTGTGCCTCAGCATACCAGGCACTAGTCTTTTTACACAAGAATTTGTCAATTTTGAGAATGCAGACAAGTTTGTATACAGTACCAGGCAAGATATGAGACGGAGGGGTACCCCTCTTACCTGTAAATCCCTATACACACACTAGACTATTGTTACCTAACACATCCTCCCAAAAGTCTGTGAAGAATTCCTGAGATTCTGATCAAACAATGACCAATACAAAGGCGGGGGGTTCTCTCGGTCCCATATCTTGCTTCAAATGTTAGTTTAACTTTCTCGTGCAAGAGTAAGGATGGGTTCAATTACAAGACTTCCAAGTGCCGTTGTGCAGTAATAGGAAAGAATGGAAGATTAAAAACAGTACATGTGCAAGATGTCAATAATGGAGTTGAATGTTGCCTCTCAGCTTGACAACACTGGGTAATGCACAAAATAGTAAATGGCATCTGTTGGAAATACAAAATCAAGAGACAATTTGAATAATTAAAATTTGTAGAGAGAAGACGCATGTACATTAACCCTAACCTTCCCCAACCACACAGAATTAAACAGTAGTAAAGTGTTTAATTCTGTGGGGATACACTGTAGGTCTGGTAGGCCCATAACAGCTGGCTTTTGCACTGGGTTTGGCATACCTCAGAAAAACAAAGTCCAACAGCCTCTGTGCACAAAGTCTCATGTGGGTGTTTAACTTTGTGTGAATGGGGAAGGTTAGTGCCAGCAACCCTTGGGGGGTTAGGGTTAAGACCCAGTGTCCACTCCTGACCAGTTTCTCTACTTACCAGCCCCTTTGTGGCTTGTAGCTTACCCCCTTACTGCTGAGGCACCAGCCCAGACTGTGGCCTGAATGGGCCCTTCCCTCTTTCAGAGTGTTTGTGTTGTTGCTTGATAGTAGGAGTCATAGCCAGTGGGCCATACAGTGGGGTTTTAATCTACTTCAATTCTTTAACTCCAAACAAGGAACCTCAAGTGACTGACAGCTGACAAAACCTTGCATCTCTTCCCATGGAGTGCATTGTTACAGCTGAGTGGTTGAGGCAAGAAAAGAATTCAAGAAAGGACTCCGTACCATCATCTTTTACGGCTTTAACTATCACATTTTTGTCCAGTATCTTGCTATAAATCTTGGTCTAAAATACCAATGACAACTTTGTCTGTCAATCTTTATGGTGACATTTTGGAAACCATTTTGCTGCCTTAGGGACTGTTTAACCTTTGACATTAGCCCAGATAGTGCACCCGCTTCTTGTTTGATGTTCATGAGCATCTTCATGGAAGTACAACGCCCTGGGATTTTTTGTCTTTGTTCCAAAGTTTGTCAAAAGTATATCTGTTGAAGTAAGTACCGTGTAAATCAAAATGAAGTTCATGACGTAAAATATCATTTCTGGATAAAAATTAAATGCCCTCAGTTTTGAATTTTGATCCATTTTTATGCTGGGATATCTTCAAATCTAACACCACAATAAATATCACACCTGGAGAGTGCTAACTGCATAAAGGTCAGTATTCTCAATCATGTTGAATGTCATGCACATCTTCTGTCAAAATTCTCAACTTTCATCCGTGTTCCTTCAACTAAATGTTTGCAATGAACATGTATATTTCTGATGCAGCCAGACTTACAGATTATTTTTGATGGCTGTAAGGTATGAGATCAGGGAAGTATGCTGGTATAGTTGGAGTGATTTAAAACAACTGGCGAATGAAGAGAGCCAAATCTTCCTAATCATTTTGTCAATTTTGTACCATTTTCTTCATGGCTCATTTTTTTTAAAGGTCTTCAACACCTGTTAAAAATATTCTGAATGATATTTGTTGTTGAGACATTTGGTCTAAAGTCATCTGGTACAAACATTTTAAATTAAAACTTTAATGCATCCAACTCCTTCGGTTTGCACTGGTAGCCAGCTAAATGTAGCCAGCTACATGTAAATGTCCACAAAATGTACAAAATACTGCCAGCAATCAAGGAAGCCTTAATATGCAATCCATCCTATGGTTAAGACTGTGGTGGGCCAACATGGAAGTTATTTTTGTAGATCAATGGCAATTCAATGGTAATTTACATGCATTTGAAATTAGTCGTGCTTGGAGATAAGTCTTGAAGGTTTGCATGGTGAAGAGGTATAGCAGAAAGTAGGTTTGTGGTAGCACCA